GCCCTTGACCGGAATCGAACCTGGGACCTTTCAGTTCGCAGGCCAACGCTCTATCCATTGAGCCAAATGGGTCAGGGCACAACCATCATTTTTAAAATCGCTGGGCAAGAATGTAACTAAAATTGGGATAAAACTATATTGGGAAGATCCAGAAGGGGAAGTGGTCTGGAATGAAGGTAAAAACCCACATGTAGCATGATAGAAAGTCAGAGTATTAAGCTCCTAGGTCAAAGTACAGGAGTGTACTTGCTTTGTTTAGAAGTGAGTACCTCTAAGAAATGCAGTGGGATGGGAGTGGGTTGTAAAATAGGGGGCTCATATTTGTTATAACTTTTTATTACTCTTGACTTTTTAAACCAAGAGAATGCATTACATTACTAAAAAATAATGATTTCAAAAAATAGGTTGAGAAAAATAATCTTTGGTTATTAGAGGACAAATTATTGCTAAGAACAGTTTCAAGGGAGTTGTTAGAGAAAAAAAAAATCCACAAAAGAACCAAGGATAACATATATGATTAAAACATTTAATGGTGTCCCAGCCTGTTTGGCTCAGTGGATTGAGTGTTGGCATGCGGACCAACGGGTTCTGGGTTTGATTCCCGGTCAAGGGCATGTGCCAAAGGTGTGTGCCTTGGTTGCAGGCTCCTCCGTGGCCCAGGCCCTGGTCAGGGTGCATGCAGGAGACAACCAACCCATGTGTCTCTCTCACATCCATGTTTCTGTCTTTCCCTCTCACTTCCACTCCCTCTAAAAATCAAAGGGAAAATGTTCTCGGGTGAGGATAGAAAAAAAAATTTTTTTTAAAGGATTAATTTTAATTTAAATGCCAGTCACCATGTGATGTTTTAAGACTAAAACTGAGTAAGGAAAACCCCAGTCCCAAAAGTCTTCTAGTTCAGCAGGGTGGGCATGTAGGGAGGCAGGTACTTACACTGCAACATGAAGAGTGCTACGTGAATAAGGACATGTGGGAAATAATTTGAGATACAGAGGAAAGAGAGCCCATCCTCGTTTGGGGCTCAGTTAGGGATGACTCCCTAGACGTGAGTGTAGAAGGATAAATGGCTTCAGCTGGCTAATTAGGTAGGAAAGGACATTCCAGGTTGAGCTCACGATGAAAACCATCAGCCCGTTTAGGAAAGGGTAACGAGTTCAGGTGGCCTGAGACAGGATGTGGAGTGGCGAGTGGCCAGCGATGAGCCCCGACGGGCAGACCGGGGCAGGTCAGAGAGGGTCCTGGTCACGCGAAGGGGGTTAGCGTGCCAGGATTTTATCCTAAGGTGTGACACATCAAAGGCACAGCTTAGAATGATCACTGGCGCTGGAGAAGCCAGTGGAAGATCAAATGAAGGATTCCGGACTGGGGAAGGAGACTCGTTACCATGTTTCCCCGAAAATAAGACATCCTCAGAAAATAAGACCTAGCGCATGGAAAGATAAGACATCATCCCCTGAAAATAAGATCTAGTGCAACCTTGGTAGAAAAAATTAATATAAGAAAAAATTAAGTCTTATTTTCAGGGAAACAGGGTAGAAAACCAGCATAGGAAGTGAGGGCTAGACGGAGGGAAGAGTTGAGACATATGTCAGAGGCTGATTCAGGGACAGGTCATAGCCACCAAACACAAGATAGAGGATTCATGGATGACTCTGAGGTTCACTCATCCGTCAGACATTTTTTGTGTGCCTTTGCTAGGCACTCTGCCAGGTACTGGGGCGATGGGGAGAGGGGAGGGGAAAGGGGAGTAATAGGGTAAATACAGCATGGTTCCTGCCCTAGAGGAGCTTTCAATTTAGTGGAAACACAGATAACAAATTCTCAAGTCACTGCAGCTGCAATGCTCCATTCTCAAGAGAACAGAGCCCTGAGGGGCTTGAGAAGATGTCAGATATGGAGGAGGCGAACCCAGGGTGGTTGAGCTGTGAAACTGAGGGGAAGAGTTTGGGAAAGGAGTGGTCCCTGGAGACAGATGCTGCCAAGTAAGTGGGTAGCAGGGGTGAGGAGTTTCCCAGATGCACGATGATCTCAGAACAGCAGGGAGGGTTGCCCACCAAACACCAGTGGGGTGTGGAGCAGAAAGGTGGTGAGGATGCTGAGAAATGAATACAGCTCTGTTTTTATTTCTTTTTAAAAAAAATATATTTTATTGATTTTTTACAGAGAGGAGGAGGGATAGAGAGCTAGAAACGTCGATGAGAGAGAAACATCGACCAGCTGCCTCTTGCACACCCCCTACCGGGGATGTGCCCGCAACCAATGTACATGCCCTTGACCGGAATCGAACCTGGGACCTTTCAGTCCGCAGACCGACGCTCTACCACTGAGCCAAACCGGTTTCGGCTGTTTTTATTTAAAAAAAAATATATATTTTTTATTATTTTTTTACAGAGAGGAAGGGAGAAGGATAGAGAGCTAGAAACATTGATGAGAGAGAAACATCAACCAGCTGCCTCTGGACACCCCCTACTGGGGTTGGGCCTGCAACCAAGGTACATGCCCTTGACCAGAATCAAACCTGGGACCCTTTAGTCCAAACTGGTCTTGGCAATACAGCTCTGCTTTTAGAGACTGGCCAGGAAGTGAAGAAGAGACAAGCTAGTGAGGGGCAGGCTTCATAAAGATGCTGCTTTCAAGATGGGAAACACGTGAGTACTTATTCTCACCCGGACCAGCTGTGGAGGAAGCCAGGGCACAGTGAAAACCTGGGGCCTCTCCTGACATGATGAGGAATTTAAGACAGTAACAGCAGAGCCTGAAACCAGTGTGGGGCTCTCCTAGGTGAAAGGCCTGGGGAGGAGGGTCAACAGCAGAGTCTGGGCCCCCTGCCTCTGGGAAGGGAGGGTCCACGTGGAGGGAGCACAAGAGAAAAAACAGGACTTTGGCCATCTCCTGGGATGGGGAGATGGAACCCAGAGGGAAGGGTGCCAGAAGCCAAGGACTGCATGCTGGAGAGATGGTTTTCTTCGCTGAATAATCTGTAGGTAGAGAAGAGCGACAATTTTGTGGCAGCCAGAGGGCAGTGGGATACCAGGCTGAGCAGCCCTGAGGAGCCTGATTTTTTTTTTTTGGGGGGGGGACACACGTCATTGCAGGTGGCAGATGGGGCAGGAGCAAGGGAGGCTGAGAGAGATCTGTGGCCAGCATGCCCTGGACATGACAGGGAGTTCATGTTGGGACATGGGTGAGACATGGGGTGTCCAGAGAGACAGGTGGGCAGGCTTGCTCAGCGAGGAGGTCGCTGGAGATGAAAGTGGGAGGAGGGTAGGAGGCCTGGATCAAAGGAGGAGAATCTGTGGGGTTTGTATTCTGGGCATGCACTGCTGGTGAAGTTGGGGGGGCCTGGTCTAGGGGACTTGTTCAAAGAGTGAAACAGCAAAAGCAAGGGGAGAGCTAGAAGGTCTGGAATGAGCCACAGTGCTATGGATCATTGTTATTTTATTTTATTTATTATTTTAAAAAATATATTTTATTGATTTTTTTACAGAGAGGAAGGGAGAGAGATAGTTAGAAACATCTATGAGAGTCACCGATCAGCTGCATCTTGCACGCCCGCTACTGGGGATGTGCCCCCAACCAAGGTACATGCCCTTGACAGGAATAGAACCCGGGACCCTTGAGTCCGCATGCTGACGCTCTATCCACTTAGCAAAACCAGTTTCGGCTGGATCATGGTTATTTTAAGACCAGGCACAGGTGTGCGTGTGTGACAAGGAGAATCCATAGCGAGGGGCGGTTCAAGGGGCAGCAGACAGGGAGGGAGGCAAGTTACAGAGCCGCCCTGTGCAGGGGCGGATGCCGAGGGCCGCTGGTACCCTTCTGTGACCTCCAGGAGGTGAGATGAAGTGCGAACCTGGCCAGAGCCAGAGCCAGAGGAGCCACAGCCAGGACAGAGAGAACCGTGACTTCTCCCTGGGAACGAAAGGGGGCGCCCGCGAGCAGCGAGGAGAGCGGCCGGAGGCGGAGAGGAACCTCGCGGTTCCCGCTGGGCCGAGCGGGGTCCCCTTCCCCCCGTGTTTCCGCGGGTCCCCAGCTCCCCGCCGCCCCGCAGCGGTTCGGGGACCTCGTGGAAGCGGCCCCCGCGGCCCCGCACGGCCCAGGGAGGGCTTTCGGGGACCTCCCCGAGCGAGGGGCCGCGGGGATGCGGAGGTCCACCAGCAGCCCCCAGTGCCCGGCCCGGCGCCGGGTCTCCCCCGCTCCCCCCAACCCCCAACGTCGCATGCCCCCCACAGGCCTCTCTCCTGCCCCGTCCCCCCCGCCCCCCGCGCTTATCCTGCAGAGGAGCTGCTCGGGCTCCCCGGCCTCCCTCCTCCTCCTCCTGAGTGTCCTCCTCCTCTGGGAAACCCCGGCGGGGCTCCGGGGCTGCCCCCCTCCCTGCCCGGCGCCCGGCTGGGGGTTTTCTTTTTCTTTATTTTTAAAAAAATAAATTTTATTGATTATTTACAGAGAGGAAGAGAGAGTTAGAAACATCGATGAGAGAGAATCATCCATCAGCTGCCTCTTGCACCCCCCCCCCCCCCCCCCCCCACTGGGGATGTGCCCGCAACCAAGGCACATGCCCTTGACCGGAATCGAACCGGGGACCTTTCAGTCCGCAGGCCACTGAGCCCGGCGGGGTTTTCTGAATCCGGGCCGCCGCCGCCGCCTGGATCTGGAAAGGGTTAACCCTCTCCTCGGCGGGTGAGAAGCCGGAGGACAGCCGCGTCCCCCGCCCCCGCTCCGATCCCGGAGCTCCCAGCCCAGCAGCCGGGCCGCAGGGCGCACGTGCGGACGGAGCCAGGGGCGTCCCTGTTTGCAGCCGCGGGGGTTCCCCGCCAGCGGGCCGGTCTCCCCTCCCGCTCCGGGCGGCGGGCCGGCGGCGGTGGCAGCCCAGCCCGGCGCTCAGGCCGGCGGGGAGGAGCCGGAGCGGGAGGGGCGCGAGGGGCACGAGGGGCCGCCGGCCCCGCCCCGCCGCCCCGCCCCCGCGGCCGGAGCCCGGGCTGCAGCCGGGAGCGCTGAGCCCGCGAGCAAGCAGCCCGCCCGCCCGCCCGCCCGCCCGCAGCGGCCTCCGGCTCCCGCGCCCCGCGCCCCGCGCCCGGCCCGCGCCCCCAGACCCCGGGGCCCGCGCCCCCGGGCGGGATGCGTCATGGCCACGCTGGCTTGCCGGGTGCAGTTCCTGGACGACACGGACCCTTTCAACAGCACCAGCTTCCCCGAGCCCAGCCGCCCGCCGCTCTTCACGTTCCGCCAGGACCTGGCGCTCGGCACCCAGCTGGCCGGGGTGCACCGGCTGCTGCGGGCGCCGCACAAGGTACGGCCGGGGCGGGCCGGGCCCCCGGGATGCCGCCGCGGCCCCGGGGGGAGCGGGGCGGGCGCTGCAGACCTCCCGGGCCCGTTAGCGCGTGGCCTGGGCACCGGGCGGCGGGCGGCGGGCGCGGGATCCCCCGGGCGGGCGAGGGGGACAGCCCGGCGCTCGGGGGCGGGCGGGGCGGAGCAGGTGCCGCGCCGGCCGAGGCGGCGGGAGGCAGGTTCCCGGGCGCCGCGCCGTTAGCTCTGCCGGGTGGGCGGGGTGGGGGCTCGGACCACGGCCATCGCCTCGGTTCCCGGGAAGAGAGCGCCGAGCCTGGGCCCCGGAGGACTCGGGTCCCTGGGAGGAGAGTCCCGAGCGGTGCCCGGGACCAAATCTCTAGGGCCTCCGGGGCCACTGCAGGCGGCCGCCCGACCCTCGCGACAAAGCACTCCTCCCGGGGACGACGCCGCCGCCTCCTCCTCCTCCTCCTCCTCCTCCTCCTCCTCCTCCTCCTCCTCCTCCTCCCCCTCCCCCCCCCCCCCCCCACGCCCCGGCGGGATGCGGAGGCGCTGCAGCGGCGCTCGGGGAGCCCCTTTCTCTGGAGAAGCAGGTGGCCCTGGGAACCGCGGAGGCGCCGGGGCTGCGGGGCCAGGGGCGGGGGCGCACAAAGCCGGAGCCGTGCGGCCGCGGCCGCAGTGAGCGTCCCCTGGGAAGAAAGGCTTCCCCGTCCACCCGGTGGAGTTTCCTTTTAACCCTTTTCAGGGGGACGGGCGTCTTGCAAAGTGTGTGTTGCCAAGAGATGAACAGCGAAAGCTAACCATTTAGCCGGGAGGACGCTGCAGTGTGACTGCAGCTGGAAGAATTCCTTCCCGGGTACTGCGTGTGTGCGTGTGTGCGTGAGTGTGCGTGTGTGTGTGTGTGTGTGTGTGTGTGCGCGCGCGCTTAGACTCCATAGCAAAGCTTGGAGGTGATTTATTCTTTCAGGATCAATATTGATAAATATTTGGAAGAGATATACCCGTGATACAAAAAATAAGACAAAATTGGTGTAAAAAAATTCTTTCGATTTCTGGATGAAATGGTCACCTGCCTAGGAAGCAGGGGGCGGTTGTGCGTGGAAACCCGGATGCGTCCGGTCACCTCCTGGGAACCTCTCTGGCCATCAAAACAGGTTGGATGGGGAGATGGGACACCCAGAATGACGTGTTGTGGATGCAGCTTATCAGAGTCACTCTGGTACATGATTTGGTTCCTCTCAGTCAGTGGATTCAGCTGAAAGTTTTCGAAGGGCTTCTTCAGCACGATGAGATGCCATTCATTATGGGCTCTGATTACAGTGATCTTTTGTTGAAACCGCAGGAGACATAATTGTGGCCCGATGACCTTGAAGTGGTTTCCTTGGATTTCAAACCCTATATACATGGCTGACCTTTCAAGTGGGAAGCTGACACACCTTCTTATGGTCGCACGGAAGAGCCCTGTAGTCTTGACTCAGAGTGGCTGCTGTGGTAGTTGCTCTCCCCTAACCCCTTCCCCCCATAGAGGCTACGGCACAGCCACTGACTGGCTCTCAGAACTTTCTGAGGTGGCCCTCGAGGAGTAAACAAACCAGAAGATACCCCACAGAGACCCTTGACCCCCCTGTCTTGGGGGCCAGCCAGCTTTATTCTCGGAGTCTTTTGCCCCAAGACGGCTGCAGTGTATTCTTATGTTTGGCTTTTTTTTTTTTTTTTTTTTTTTTTTTTAAATCTTGAGCTGAGTGAGTGGCCGATGCTGTTAGCCAGAGTTCTGTAAAGCAGAATTCAGGGCATTTATAGGCCTGGGTGCACTTCCATCTTTCAAAATGTTGGTTCATTTCCAACAGGGAATCTTAACATTGGATGCTTCACCTGTGATAAAAAGACCTAACAGCTTCTGTGCACTGGCATGCAGGTGCGTGCTCTGCCAGGGATGTCCGTGCATGATCTCATTGCATACCACACAACCCTGTGAGTGTGGAGACTTTCATATCCCCATTTCACAGGTGAGGAAACTGAGGCAGGGAGTAGTTAAGGAATCTGGTTTCTCCTTTAGGAGTGGGGAGCGGAGAGATTCAGGCCTGTGTGACTTCCAGCCCCAGTGCTGCTCTGCTCCCTGGACCGGCTTGGTGGGCAGGACCCGCCTCCCCGTGCCTGGGGCTTTTGTTCCACTCTCTTGGGGAGATCGCCAAAGCACCGCCTTGGGCTAGGTGCTTTTTGGCCCGGGGTAGATGAATGTTACTAGCATGAGTAAGAGCCTTGGGCCGGCATTCCTGGCCTGGTCTGAGTTCACCGTCAGAGGTGGGAGTACACAGTTATGGAGCCTCCCTCCCGTGAATGAGTTAAAGGAGCATAGAGTAGACAAGCTGCCACTCCAGACAACGTGGATAGGGCTTCCCCGGGAGCCCAGCCTGGCAAGCGGAGGAGACCCTGGGGGGCATTCTGGGTGGTGGAGAGAGGGGAGGAGCATGACTGCGGAACACGCAGATGCTCTCCCTGTTCTCGGCCATCCCGTGTGTTCATCCCGTGTGAACACACAGGCGAGTGTGCGGGGCATAAAGGAGCAGCCGGAGGCGTGTTCTCTAAACGAACACACCTGTGTGACCCGCTCCTGTCAGGCCCAGAAGAGGGTCCCCGTTGGTAACGTTCCTTTGGGATTCTCCTGGGCTGGGAGCCTTTGACCTGGCTGACCTCTCAGGTCCTTCCCAGCCCAAACGCGAGTCCAGGCATCTTTTCTTAACCTGATGACATATTTATTCAGCTCACGTCTGCCACCGCCACTAGAAGTGAATTGTTTGCTTACGCAGGCGTCTTCAAACTACGGCCCTCGGGCCACATGCGGCCCGCAGAGGAGTCTGATCCGGCCCGCCAGGTTTTTTGGGCAGTGAGCGCAGCCGAGGTGTTACAGTAGGAATTAGTAGTTCATATAGTCCGGCCCTCCAGCTCTCTGAGGGACCGTGATCTGGCCCCCACTTTAAAAAGTTTGAGGACCCCTGGTTAATGAAACCACCGTCTCAGACAAAAACAATACATCGCACTTATGATGCTGTATCTTTTCATTTTTTTCAACCTGCTATTTTGGAAAAGAGGAACCCCCAGCTTTGTAGAGTAGTTCCAGGGGAGATGATTAAATAAATGATTAGTTTGATGAAAAGGTCAAAACTGGTGCTGTGCTCTCACCGTGGAGATGCTCATTTTGGTAGTTATATGTTTTGCCTGGACTGGGTGTGTGGCCTTTTGTTTTCAAACGCTGTAGAAACAGGTGTTTATTTTTGGTGTAGTGTTTTCAAAGAAAAACAATTGTAATGATAGGACTTCTCATGTAGAAAAACGATGTGGTAGAATTAATAGAATCATAGACCTTTCAAAGCTTAAATGTGTTCGGATTGATTGACGCTGAAGGTTAGGCTGTAAGGATTCATGTTTCCTTTTGATAGACGAAGCTGCGAGTGTAGAATATTTTTACAAAGAAAATGATAATTAGCTTGCGTCAAAATGGCAAGTATGACTTAGTGATTTAGTTCAGGAAGTGCTGTGGTGTCTGCTGTGGACTAGAAAGTGGAGTAATAGTAACTATTTTGTCTAGACTCGCTTTGTCTCCCCAGCCCACGGCCTCCCTGGGGGTCAGGTGCTGGTACTGTTACATCTCACAGCTGAAGACACCGGAGCAGAAGCAAGTCACCTGACCATAGGAGGGGGAAGCCCCAGAGTTGGAATTTGACACCAGGTCTGAGCTCTTAATGACTCCACGTTGTTGTCTTGAATGTTCTCCGTCCAAGCAGCCTGTCCACGGTCCAGAGTTCCATCCTCTGGATTCGCTGTGACAAACCCCGTTCATTTCTTTGTGGTTACCTTGCTGCCTGGTGGGTCCCACTGGAGCACAGCTGATTGCAGTGAGGATTAGGCGATCCGAGTCTGCGCTGGGCGTCACCTGGGCTCGTAACAGAAATGCTCTCAGGCCCTCCTCACTGGTTTGGCTCAGTGGATAGAGCGTCAGCCTGCCGACTGAAGGGTCCCAGGTTCGATTCTGGTCAGGGGCATGTACATTGGTTGCGGGCACATCCCCAGTAGGGTGTGCAAGAGGCAGCTGGTGGATGTTTCTCTCTCATCAATGTTTCTAACTCTCTATCCCTCTCCCTTCCTCTCTGTAAAAAATCAATAAAGTATATTTCTATAAAATATCAATAAAATATATTAACAGAAAAGAAAAGAACTGCTCTCAGGCCTCCCTCCTCCCCTGCTGAATCAGAACGTGAATTTTCCCAAGATGCCTTGGTGATGCCTGTGCACACTGCCGTCTGAGCAGTGTGGATTAGAGGTCATTTAGGTCAGGCTCTGGCAGGTGGGGGTTCTCACGTCTCCCCCGTTCTCAGATAACTTCCTTGAGGGTGAAGACCGGCTGGCCTCCAGCAGGTTCCCGGGGAGTGCTGAGGTGGAGCGTGGGCTGAGTTAGCTGATTGATCAGGGTTAGTTTTAGAATTACCGCTCTAATGAATTTCCACCCTAATCCTCTTAAGTGACACATCTGTTTGCTACGTTACATTAAGATTTTTGAAAGATGAGATCAGTAGTAAAGTTGGCAAGTGTGGTGTGTCACTTAGCATCTCAGGACACAAGTGTTTGAGAATGTCGTATGGACTGCCACCTCGGGGGCACCTCTGTGCAAGCCGGGACGCCTCCGACTCCCCCGTAATTAGCTTAGTTGGTTGGCGCTGGGCCGTTGCGATCAGGATCATGGGATTGAACCCTTTACGGGTCAGTTGGCTTTGCTTCACGGGCGGCCACAGACGGCATCAGGGACCCCGGCAGACGTGCAGCAGGTGCCGTCATGGCTCCCCAGAAGGCTCTGAGTTGGAAGGGACCGGTAGAAGCCTCTGGGGGGAAAGGGCTAACGAGTAATGGGTTTGCATGGTAGGCCTCCTCGGATAACTTCACTGATTCTCATAACAACTCTGGCAGACAGACCGTGGTGCCCCCAGTTACCCCATGAGGACACCGAGACAC